TAAAGTTATTAAATTACTAACAATCCTTATTTTTTCTTTATTTTTCTAGAAATATATAAGCAGATACTTACAGGAACAACAGCAGCCATGGTCGTAGGTTAATGCTCTTCGGTAAGAGTAAAAATCGGCCAGAAAATTGCTCCCTTCTTATAGATTTCAAGATGTCCAGGCCTTAAAAGCGACCAATCGCTGTTCACAAACCAAAACATCCCTCCTCCTTCCTCTGGCATCACCACAGTTAGGTCACTCTCATTAAACACAGGCACACACACCTGAAAGACTCAGATTACACGAACACCAATGTGGTTTATTATTAAGGAGTCTTTTTGTTTAGCATGGTATATTTAGAGGAAGCTTTAATTCTGAGAAAAGACAAGAACAAACATAGATATGGGGGTTACAGGTTGGAGAGAGAAGAGATAAAGAACAAGGACTGCCCCACAGGAGATGCAGATAACAAAGGCAGTGATGGGTGATCACTATAAGAATAAACACGTAGAAGCTCCAAAACATCGTGACAGTTTGAAACAAGCCAGAGGTCACAGAGCGTGATCCTTTGTGCTCCTGAACAATAGGATGGATGCATAGGTCGATGTCGTTTCGTCATTCAGCGCAATCTGATACATTGCTGATGGGAAGTGACAGGGGACATCAACTCTCTGAGGGGTTTGGAGCTCAGAGGGTGAAGAAACTGAAGAAGGAGCTTGTTACGCCAACAGAACCCCTGTCAGCTCATATTAGACCACATAAAACCGCAGCGACAAAAAGGGAGGAATGAATCATTGATGTTGTTTTTTGCACGATCAAACAACAAACAACAGATATGTAGAGCAAAGTTTATTTTCCACCATACATAGACTTGTGTAATATGACACCTTCTTTTATCTTTCTATTGTGTTTCTATTGTGTTTCTTCCTGTTTAAATTGAATATTTCCTCTCCACTGTCGCTAGAGGCATGCTTAGTGTGAGGAATAGCCTTTGAGTTCATGCAATCAGCTGCTTTTCCTTAAAAAACTTTGAATCAAATTGACTGTATGATCTGGTTGAATTGTCTCTGTAAAGTGCCTTGAGATAACAAGTGTTGTGAATTGGTGCTATATGAATAAACAGAATTGAATTAAGCCTCTAATGGCTTAATTTTTCCCCACAATGGATTTTTCCTTACTCTTCTTCCCTAAAGGTCAGGGAACTGATTCTCCCACCTGAGCAGGTTACCTCTGTGGCTCCTCCAAAGGATATTGATTTAGGAACAAACTAACCCTGTTTTGTTACTTCTCCACAAATTATTCATTGACCTATTTGTTGTTTTCCTTGTTTTTTATGATGCTGATTTGTTCACAAGTGTTCTCAAACAAAAAGGTGGTTGCACTGGATTTTATTGGGGTGGCAAACAAAAGGGGTCTGAATTACAGCATTTCTCAGATGTATCCTTTTCCTTTATGTGAACATTATACTGTATGATATTTTGTGCTCACATCAAACCCAAACAAAACATTTATTTTGGAGGTACTACCTGAAATATCTTATCATTCGATGTAAGAGATCTGACTGTGTTTTAGTGTCAGTTTTTGGTAAATCTGGTAAAAATAAGCCTCACTTCAAGAAACCAGTTTCCCTGAAACCATATACCAAGAGGAAACCCAAAAGACAGACCTGCAGTGAATTACTTTAAAAACAATAAAAGGCATGGGCTTGATAAGAATTTCACCATGAATTTGTTGGCGACGTTTGACTTTAAAGAATATTATGTGACTATTTTTGTAAATTGTTGGTATGAGTGGCAGATAGTACAAGAAAAGTGAAAAAGATTGTTAATGAGAGGCAAAAGAAACACAGATGTGCAGGTAAGAAGGTAAAACTTATATATCATTAACTTTGCTTACAGAAATAAACCAAAAATATTTTTAAACTTCATCTACCACAGTCTAATAATATGACTGTCAGGTTGACTGGTTGCTTTAAATTTTCTTATGTGTTTTTTGATTCATGTGTCAGTATTGGTTGTGGCTCCACCTCTGGCACTGTGGCCACCTCAGATATGAAGGTACCGAGAACTAGAAATATGGTAGTGAAGCATTTTCTGTTAATTTTCCAAAACTTGTTTTTATTAACTTTTAACTTGCACGTTCCTCTGGTCATGCAGCGCCCCCTGCTGCTTTTATCAGGTAGCAACTAGGTACGATTTAATGATGAGCTTATTTCCAGTCATGATGGAGGTCCATGTGGAGTCAAAGGGCAGAACCTTCAAATACTGGACAGTGGGGTTCAAAGCTGGTCCAAAGGTTAAAACTGTAAATTATAAAGAAAATATATTTAACTGGGAGTGGTTGCCTAGTGGTTAGGGCATTGCGCTTCTAAGTTTGGTGTTCAAGCCCCACTCCCACAGACTGCCACTCTGGGTCCCTGAGCAAAGACCCTTAACCCCCACACTACTCCTCGTGTACCGCACAATGGCAACCCACTGGTCCACAAGGTGATGGGTTGAATGCAGAGATCATATTTCGTTGCTTTGTACTTGTGATAATGTAATGACAATAAATTTGAATACTCTATTTCTCTACAAATCAGTAACAGTTTCTCCTGTCAGCATTAAGAAATTGATTTAGTATTACACTGCAGAAAGTAAAACATTCTTAAAATAGGTCATTTTGCCCTGAATCTGAACAGGTAAATACAATCTGATAAAGGAATTCATATTTTGCTGTTGGAATAAGATAATTAGATATTATGCCCTTGAAATTAAATAACAGAGTTCTTTTTAAACCTAAATCCTCTCATTGCATCTGCATCATTTCTTACTTACTTGCTCCATAAAAAAACAGCTCTCAAAAACCTACAACGCAGCGATAAAGTTGATTCCTTCTCTCTATTATATTATATTATAATAACAAACTTCACTATGTGCAATAACTTGGTCATGCGCAATAATAGTAATTTAGGAACTGAGCTGCATTGTAAATTGTAAATACCGTTGAATGTATCTACTGAGCTACTGATTTTATTCCTATATCGTATTTTACACTGTTTATATGGTAAGTGTGTAATTTTACTGTGTGGGTTGTAATTTTATCTATTTGAATTATTGTGTTCTGACTTATTATGTTATATTTTATTTTGCTCTACTGTACTTCTGTAAACAGCTGCATTGCAAGAAAAGAATTATCCTTAAGGGATTAATTAAGTAATTCTGATTCTGATCTGCATCTGATGTCACAATTATATCATATTTATTATAAAGAGAGTCTCTTATTCCCCTTTAAAAATCTACCAAACTTTTATCTTTATCTAATTGTCTATCATTAACTTTATGCTGTTACTTATTATAGAATGTGGAGTCTCAGGTGAAGCATTTAGCATTTAGTAACTGAATGGCTTCTATGAGCAGGTTTTAGCCAAGCCTGAAATTTCCAACAGAGTGTCTCACATTGAACTAAAGAATACTTTCTTTTTTTTTCTAAATTTCGTTTCTTTTGGTTTCTTCTAATATCTCTTTTTTTCATCAGTCCAAAGCCCAATTGGAAAGGCCAGTAGATTAAGTCAAAATCAAATTTACAAGCCAAGTTTGGTACAAAAACAAAGAGTTTGACTTTTATTGTTCACAGAATTACACATACACAATTACACATACAAAAAAAAAGGAAATATGTGTGTCTGTGCAGTCCCAGTGTTTGTTTGCTTTTTTTTTTTTTTTTGCAATACTGCAGTATGCTTAACCTCTCTGGCTGTGAAATGTTTTATGTTTTCTTAAAACAAACAGTTTGCAAAAAGTAACTGTTTTTATTTAGGATAGAATAGACAATCCCTTTATTATTCCACAATGGGTAAATTCTGGTGTTTCCAGCAGCAAAATGCAAAAATGCAATACATTTCTTTTTACCGTCTTTTATGGGAGCGTATTATCTTAAACTTAAATGTAATTTGACTTGTAAATTTAATTTCAGAGCATGTTTTTCTTACACATCACAAACACTAGATGGCGCTTTTAATCAGCCTCTTTTCTACTGTTTGAGCTCAGTAAACTGAATTCTAATTATCTAATTATGCTTTTTTTAAATTACGTCCTAGTACATTCAAGCAAGCTGCATGAATATAATACATAGTATAGTATAATACAAAAGAAGGAAAAATATACTCCCGATTTTTCTCACCAGACTTGCATTCACGAATAACAAAACTTTGCAAAAAATAATGAAAAGGTTTTATTATTATAAAAATATATATATATTTTTTACAAGCTCTAAACAAAGTACATCTTCAAAAAACACTGAAAATCTTTAACATTTTTATTTACACTTGCGCAAGTCCTTCCGGAAAATATACCTACAATTAAAAAATAGAAATATCAGATTTTCTAATTAGTTAGAAATCATTTTGTGTTAATATTTTTCTTGAGTAACTGGCTGTTTACATGCTTTCATATGTGTAGATTTTTAACTGTAAAGTATTTGTTTTTGTTAGTAACAGCTTGAAGGAGCACTCGCACCAACGTCTACTCGCTGTAACTTTTCTATTGATCAGGAAGTGATGAAAAGGTTACGTGACGCTACTTCAAACAAGTTATGTCATCCTTTTGGTTGACGCCCATGTTAAACATTAATTTAAATGACTGAAGGGTTCCATTTTGTCATTCTCACTAAAATGGGAGAAAAAAAATCTTTAATCAAAGCTATTTTAATAGGTTTGTTTGAACTTTTCGCTCTTTCCTCATCTCGGAGCAACAGGTGCCACTAGATGTGACGATGCGTTTACAGACCTAGGTATTTTCTTAGTTTAATTAATTAATAATTTATTACTATTAACTTGGATAGAATTAGGGGCGAGGAATGTAAGGCACAGACTTGTCTAACATTTTAGAGTTTGTCTTTTAGGCGTGTCAGGCTGCTCTACACGACTGTTTGTAATATTGATCCAGGACTCACCTAAATGTACGTTTTTTCCCCCGTGCTTTAAACGCCTCCCACACCCCGCCTCCTTTCCTCACTCTCTGATGAGTGAGAAGAAGAAGCTCAGTTGACTTTAGGCGTCAGGTCCCTCACAGGAGGTCTCATTAGTTGTTTTTTTTTTTTTTTCCGGTTTTTTTTGGACCCTTCACCCACAGACCCCTCACACTCAGGATGTCTCCGTCCACGTCCCCGCGGTTCTTCACCGAGAGGGAGGTGGCCCGCCACTGCACCAAGGACTCCTGCTGGGTGCTGCTGGGGACCAGAGTTTACGACGTTACGACCTTCTTGCGAATGCACCCGGGCGGCGAGGCGCTGATACGGAGCCGCGCGGGGAAGGACCTCACCCGGGAGATGGAGGGACCGCCGCACCGGCACTCCGAGAACGCCAGGCGGTGGTTGGAGCAGTACTACATTGGGGAAGTGGACCGGGAGAGCGGCGCAGAAGAGGTACAGGTAAAACCCGGCCGTTAACGGACCCCAGCTTCATCCCTAACGGTTATCCCTGTTAAACACACTGAACTCAGGAATAGAGCATCTTTAATGGCGTGCCACTTTTTAACAACAAACTTTACTTTAAACAGCATTATAGGTTATAAATTATTATTTTTTTTGTATTATTCTCTTAAAAATGAATGTCTTTAAAACATCTCTGACTTAGCACCCGTTATGTAGCTAGGCAACACAAAGCTTTATTTACTTTTGCTTGGAAATTTCGAGTATGTTTGACACGGGACTCCACTCCCTCTGTTCAAATGTCAACATCTCAGTGGGTCTATATCACCTGAACCTGCTCACAGGTGTATCTCAATACAGACTAATGGGTTATTACACAAAGTATCTAAGGGTTTTATCTTTTAATTTTAATCGATTGTGAGTTATACAGCCAAAGAAACATGCCTCTCAGAGTTGAATGATTGCATAAAACCAATCAGAAAGTTTAAGTGAAACAGAAAATGTTCTGTATAGTGTATGGACTGCATTAATGTACTGTGGCATGGAGGTGATCAGGCTGTAGCTCTGATCAGGTGTTCATCATGTGACGTTTTTTTTTTAATATGATCATTTAATTTGATCTGGTGTGGCTCACCCTCCTCTGGAAAATACGCCCTAGGTCAAGCACCATGACATCATGGTCACCAAAGCAGGTATCAGTACATAAGGCGTGGACAGTTGTTGGGTCCTTCTGAAAAATAAATCTTCGTGCCGCATTTATCGTGTAGACTTTCTATTTCTCTTCTCTTTAGACCTCTGTTGATTTGTTTACTTTTTGTGTCCCAGATTTTCCTTCCACTCAACTTTTCTTTGATAAAAGTCAGCCTCCTTAGCAATGACTTTTGTGGCAACGTCCCTATTCACCTAAAAATGAATGAACAACTGAAGTCAGTAATCATACCCATGATTGTGTTGGTCATGAAATAAGATTTCTGTATTAAGAATAATTTTTTTAAATGTGCTTTTCTAATATAAAATACAAGGTTTCTCATAGCCGTAAGCTAAAATAATCTGAGTTCAGTTGAATTACCTTTGAAATTACTCATTATTTTACAATCTAATTTAAAGGAGTCCAAAAATACGTTTTCAGTCTGCATTAAACAGGGATGCGACCTCTTCAGTGATGCCTGCCTCATAGGGGACCCAAAAAAAAGTAAATGACGTTTATCTTGTACCTTTTCCTCATTAATGTAAAAACAAATTCCTCACTGGTGGCTGATTATGAGGATATTTCAAAGGAAGTTTGTTGATGTTTTCCCTCATATTGCCTGGCTTAAAAAGAAATTTGTTAATGAAGCTATCAGAATTTAATAGTTTATACAAATTAATTATTAAGAAGCTTTTAAATACATGAAAAAAAATGTGCAGATAGTTACACAACGATCAGTAGTAGAAGTTTAAAGGATTTTATAAAGTTCAGGACGGCAGAATACAAAGATATTTTGTCAGTTTTAAGGCTGGATTATATGTTTGAATACATAACTCTTAGTCCTATAGGTCAAACCACCAGGGGCGCCTTAAGAAAGCTCTCTATATGTGCTTAGACACTAGGGCTTTTAAGTATAGCTAAAAATGTACCATGATATAGGCCTTTAATGTTAGTTCATATTGATAATTATTTTTATTTTTCCGTTTGAAATAAATACCAGGGGGGAAAAAAAGCAGACTTTAAATTATATACACTATTTAAATGTCACCTTTAACCTACCACAAACCTTGCTTATCGAGGCTACTATGAAGGAATTTTTTATCTAAAACTTTTTTTTTAACCTCTTTATTCAAATCGGCAGGTTTTGATCTCTATTTGTCTTTTAATTGATTTTATTTTGTTGCGTTTGATCTCTCTGGGACAAATACTCAGGTTCTGTAACTCCTTATCTCCCATTCCTTTGACTTTTCCTGGTCTGCATCGATTGTAGAGGAAGGAATGAGGAGTCAAAGGCAGGTTCGGAGGTTGTGTAATTCCTCAGTGCAGGAGGGAAGCAGGGAGCGGCAGGTGATATAGCAGACCTGTGTGGTCGGTCTCTCATGGGTGTGGAGGGCGGTGTCAGTGAATGATTTAGGGAACAAGTGAGAGAAAGGGATCAGGACGGAGAAGAAACTGGTTTGTCTTGTCCTATTAGGGGGATTTAAAAGGGGGGGGCTGTCCTCCACTTGCTGGTGCTCCCACCCAGTCTTTCCTTTCTATATTCCTGTGTCTGTGTGTTAGTATCTGCTGACAGAGTTTGCATAAATCTCTTGCTGACAGAATGCACATTTACATGTCTGCCCACTTACAAGTCTGTCCAGGCTGCATCCTGGTTCAAACAACATAAAAAGATCTTCTATGTTTTAGGCATGCAGTCAAAATAGAAATTACATTTGGCGAATTCTTTCAGTTCTAAAGTTTTCAGCTTGAGTCAAACAGAGAAACCCTGCATGTGTTTTTATACCCTCCCATTAGTATAGCTTTCATAACAACAGTCAGTGACATTTATCAACCTCAAGGCTCTGGGTGAGGAAAAATTGGCCTAATTGCCATTCTCTGACACCTTTTAAATAAGGATGATGTCTATCAGTAAGGATATAGGATAAAAAAAAAAAAGAAAGAAATTCAATTGAATATACATTTTAAGTATTATTCTAGATTTGTTTGATCAATTATTGCATAACCTAGACTAAAATTAGATAGACATCAGTGACTGGAGACCTTTATCTGCAGAAAAGTACATCACTATGTCCTATCTTTGTTCGAGGGATTTGTGCTGAGAAAATATTCAGAGTTTGATGCAAATCTTAGTTGGTCAAATAGTTTGTTTCATTTTCCATAAGGAGCACTGTTTTTTTATGTAACCTAGTTTGGCCTCTATTGTGTTTTCCAGGTCTGGTTAAATATAGAAAAATAACGGAGCAGGAAAGACTTTTAGTTACCAGAGTTTATTCAAAATGATTAACATCTGATTTCCTAAAATAAAGCCGCCTAAACCAGTTTTCTTTTTTACAATGTTTTTATAGTAGATGATCTATGATGTTCAACAAACCAAACGTTTCTCTCTCTGTTTTCATTCACCTACTTAAACATTAAAAATTGACCCAAATTAGACTAAATGCAAAACACTTACATTCATGTCTTAACATCCATGACAGCAAATATATTTTAAAGTATATTTAGGCACCTCGTTAAACCCAGAGGGTTTTAGGAGCAAATTCGGTCCGAAATTACCTATATGAATTAAAGCACGTACAGCTCCCAAACTATAAATTGGAAATACAATTGTTTGCATTTGTATGACAGAAAAATATTGAATATTTTTCAGGTGGAACCACTGTTGTAAATGTTACTGTGTCTGATTTATTGGTGATTAAAAAAAGAAAACAATAAAAAATATTTAAATATATATTTCCAAAATAAACAGCAAAAAAAAAAAAAAAACTTTTAACATTCTAGATGAAACCTCAGACTTTAATGATCCACATCGTGACTATAACTCAAGCAAATTTGCACTGAATAAGTTGAAGCATGTTTCTTCCACAGAGGTTTTAGTGGGCAGTTTGCCCACTTTTCTGTGTCTGTGTGTTGATGCAGTCACTGATGTTCTTTAGGATGTGGTGACTTTAAACCCAAAAATAGGTTTTTCTTTCAGTTGTTTGTCTGTTCCTTTTAGACCATTAATCTGAGATTAGATTAGCGGTTCTCGGTCCGCTCTGTTGTCTCCTACAATGGGGGAAATATCTATAGAACCTCCTTAGAAAGGTCAAAACCCACTAAAATGAATCCAATCAACGTGAACAGGTAGCAGCTTTACTCTGACATACTTTAAGTAAGGCGCTTTTTTTCTTTTTAAATACATTTTTGAACCGTAAACCTTCTTAGATCAGGATGCTATTCCTAGTAATGATGACAGAGTATGTCTTTTAGAACACGTTCAGCTGACTTTCCCTTACGTCAGGAACTTTGGACCTACCTCCACCTGAGAACTTAAAATCTAGTCCTCTTCCTGTTCTGTAATCATTATCATTCATTTGGCTGTAAAATACATTTTATCACAGTAGAAAAACGTATAGCTTTGAGTACCACCGTTAATATCTGGAAGTTTTTGCTCTTCCTGAGCTGCGCACAATGACTCTTCGAATAGAATCGTACCAATGACAATAGGTGGCTTTTTTTTTGACTTAGTTGAGCTGAAAGATTGGATAAAACTAAACTGGGCCATCAGTTAGTTAATGGAAAATGGTTGTGATAATATTTACAGCGATGCATCATCAGCATTAGTCAGATATGGTTTTTATCTTTTATTGCTCTGAGTTTCTGCTTATGGGAGGGTTATCCTGTCATGTACTGGTTTATAGCTGCTTTATGGTTCCGAGTACGTGCTAAAAGTTCAACTACCGGTATATTTATTTTTTTAAATCGTCCAACAACCTTTTGTAAACTGAGGGAATCTGACAATTAAAAACATGTTATATGAGTAAGACATACAGGGACGTTTTTAAATATCAATTTAACAGGTAGACATGTCTTAGATTATTAGCATGGAGGGTAATTACAATTTAGATCCACATAATTTATTTAATCAAAGTTAGAATTTTATAGAAAAGGAATAAAAATTGTAGAGCAAAAGGTCGGCTCTGGTTTGGTTTACAGAAAGCTTCTCTAAAAATCGTCACGTTACTCTCAGATTGGACCAATGAATAACAAAGAGCAGCTATTTTAAGTTATTGATCAGCCACACAAAGCATGACTTCAGTTATTTATTTGCTAAAAGTTATAGATATGGATTCCATAAAGAATATTACCTGTGTTTTGCCCTTGGTGAGAGTTAAACTTTTACTCTGGATAAATGAGTTAGATATATAGGCTAGAGATGGTTTTATTTAGGATCTCATAAGGTGTTTTTTACAGGCAAAAAAACAAAACAAAAAAACACACCTAAATGATTTACAAAATGAGATAATTATTCCTCTATATCATCGACCTAATC